TTTTAATGACCAACGAATCAAGTTGAATTAAATACGAACAAACAGCAAAGTCCAAAACTTTCTACCACCGGTAAGCGCAATTTCATATATTTTAATCCGATTTTTATCCAGCATAACAGTGAGGGGGAAGATGAATGCTCACCATCTAATTGGAGTCTGTCACCTGGGATTACCGCCGCTCGCTCCATCACTCAGATGGTCACATTTGTCTGCACTTCAAGCTAAACTTTACCCCTGAATTATTAAACGTTCTGTTAGGTTTAAACACGTCGAAATTTGAATTTTTTGTATAACGTAAACTGATTGATTTAGATTCGCTTTTGTTTTCTCACTATGTAGGTATCATGTAAATGGTATAATAATTATTAGTGCCTCTACCGACTTGCCTATATGCCATTAAACCAAAATAATTTTGATACAATCAACAATTTTCAATCGATTACATCCACAGATTAGATATGATCTTCTTAAACGTCTTCTTTGAGGGAATAAAAATCAAAATAAAAATCTTCCATCTTGACCATTGTATCCGCTAGTTTAATTTGTATTAAACTAATACAATATGAAATTATACTAAACTATATTATGTATTAGATTAATCGGTATTTAACAAACACAATACACTGGTCAACATTAATTATTTATATCTAATAATAATGAAGATACAATAAAAAAAATAAAAACAATTTCATGCACAAATTAGATATGATCTACTGATTTGTTTGTTTTAGGGTTAAAATTTAAAAATTTATCATCTTAGTGGAATACAGATTAAACTAATACAATACATTATACAGTGGTGAAGAGGTATTATTTATCTCTCACAGTAAATCGCTAACAGTTATGAGTAAATAACTTGGTACTAAACGTACCTACTCTTCAGAGACTTCACAAAAACCATTTAGGTTTAATAGACACAGACAAAGCCTGATCAACCCTTAGGATAATTAGGCTGCAGCCTAGGACGCGACGATCTATGGGGGCGCGGGCGCGCTGAAATCGTGTCTTCGCTAGTATCGTCAGTAAGTAAGTAAGTAGACTTTAAGTCAGCTAAAATGGTTAGTTTAGCTGGCAGATCGATCTAAAATCTTTTATAGATAGTTTGAACCATGTTAAAACTTTCACACTAGAAAACAAAGTCAAAACTACTTTTTAGACGGACCGTAACACCATCAGTCACCTGGCGGTGGCGCATCCTGACAAATAGCCTAAAGCGGTCAGAACTCTTGATCAGTCTCTGGACACAGATTTACATATTTATTAAACGTAGTGCCATACGGTCGAAATCTAAGAAATTTAATGTTTATTAAACTACTCTACGCACTTTCAACCCTTCACAGTAAACACCCTATAAAATCGCAATCAAACATTGCAATCACATACATCTCAATTATCCGAGCCGACGGTCAAAAAGGCGAAATGGACGGGCAAAAAATGACCGGCCAAAATCTCATACATATTTAAGGTGCTACACGTAGTAACTTCAATCGTGTCTCGTAAAGTATTCAGTGGCACTGCACTGTTGCAATTGGAGTCAAACAAACGGTCAGGGGGATACTTTTAAACAAAAAAATAACGTAGTAAAGAGAAATCCCATTCATGAGTGTAAGTATGTTAGTGTGTTCGTTTCGTAGCGAATCACTAAGTCTTCACTCTTGAAGGAACATATAAGCCATATTACAAAAATAGAAGATTGTGATTCGCCAAGGTGCACCTGAAACTGGTAGTCTTATGACTCTACCGTCCTTGGTGATTCCGAGAAATTAAACAATAAATTATTAATTTAATTGTCCAAAAATATCAATCGATACAATTTATAATACTGTACAATGCAATATTATTCAATTTAATGTTTACAAATTACTTTACATTAATATAATAAACACAACTTTGATTCTGCGTTCTCGATGCCATTGCCGCGACAAAATGTTTCAATAATATATGTATATGTACTAATCACCTTTTCCGTGCTCCCTTTGAGCAAAGTTTAAAATAATCTAACCACTTTCTTTACATTTTAATAAAAATAAATCTTACATAATAAACAGTATGGTTTCACTAAGGGTCGCTCCACAATCGATGCCGGTGTGAAGTTGATTTCGGACATATTTAACGCCTGGGAAGATCATATGATGGAGTCGGCGTCTTTTGTGACCTTCAAAGGCCTTTGACTGTGTTCATCCTGATATACTCGTTGGAAGCTTCAACACTATGGCGTTGATGGCAAAGCTTCCAGCCTGATGAATTCATATTTAAAGGGAAGATCCAAAGAGTTCTGTCAATGCCTTCCGGTTCCAGGTATCAATGGGCGTCCCCCAAGGTCATTCTCGGGCCTTTCTTATTTCTGATTTACATAAATGACCTCCCATTCTTTGTCAACGAAGTTCATGAATGGTATTGTTTGCTGATGACACTTCACTTCTATTTAAAGTGAATAGGATAACGTATTATTGGACGATGTAAACAATTCTATCTCTCTATAGTTAACTGGTTTAATGTAAATAACTTATTGCTTAATGAGAATAAAACAAAATGTATTAGATTTACAACTACTAGCGTAAAGCGAGATATTGGTAACCTGAAAATTAAGGAAGTGAACTAAACTTTGTTGACAAAACTGTTTTTCTAGGCATAACAATAGATAGTAAACTCCAATGGGGCCCACACATAGAGACTCTTTCGAATAGGCTGAGCTCTGCAGCATATGCAGTAAAGAAAATCCGACAGTTTACTGATGAGGACACGGCTAAAATTGTGTACCATAGCTACTTTCATACGTTATGTCGTACGGCATTTTACTGTAGGTGCTGCTGCAGAGGTTCAATCCATATTTGTGCTGCAGAAGCGGGCTGTTCGGGGTATTTGTTGTGTTTCTCCGAGGGAGTCGGTACGGAATAAGTTTAAGGAATTAAATATTATGACACTATCTGGTCAATATATTCTTGAAGCCTTGTTGTATGTCCAAAAAATATAAACGATTTTAAAACAAATGGTACTTTCACCAGTATAATACGCGAAATAGAACTAATTTGAGTGTCACCAACCACTCCAAAAATAAACCACTCCTTTATGGAAATTGTATTCGTTTTACAACAAGCTCCCAACAAATTGAGAATTTCACTAAATAAATTCAAAGCCCTCGTTAAACGAAAATTAATCAACAAAGCTTTTTATAAATTTGAGGACTACTTAAATGATCCTAATCCTTGGGATTGAATTGCTCCAGTTCAAACAATTTGTATGACAATACTTGGCGATTAAAAAGAGTGGCGGAAAGTTTCTTGCCAGTTCTTCTTACCCGCTCTACGCCCTTGACTTGCGAACTGGTAGTAAATGTAAATTTACGATTAATTTAACTTGACGATTCAAAAGTGTACTTGGTTACCTACTTGAATAAAGATATTTTGAGTTTGAGTTTGAGTTTGAGTTTGAAGTAACGTAAAAACTATCTATCTACTATTCATAAAATATGTATGTCAAAATTTGGCATATTCTAATCAGATGTATAGACAATAACAACATGATATGGTTTTCAAAAGATATCCTTTAAACATAATTCGAATATCATTCGAAATTTGAATATGATAAATCATAGACAATGCGATGTGAAGGAGGGTTATCCCGAGGGATGGTATCATAAAAGTATTAGGGAAAGGAATAAAAGGTTAAACCCTTTCAAAGTTAATTTGTTTGTTAATTTTTCTCGCCCCTTTATTAAGATTAGGGATATAATTGTAAAGCAATTACGCGTTCTTTTGAGTTTTATTTAGCGAGTGATCTTCTAATTATGACATTTTAAATTCGTATTTAAAAATGGAATGTTGGCAGCTTGATGATTAACTCAAATTAGATTTTTTTATATCATCATTTCTAAACTACTTTATGTTATAATCTTTAATAGAAATATATTTTTTTGATCAGAGGAATCTGTTAGATAAAAAAGTCCATTTACATCTGTGGCTCAATTAAAAGACTTCTCAGATTAAGTAGATGCATAAATCTAAAAGACAATTAAAATATTTTTTACCTGCTTTATCAAGTTATAAACACATGTTTTATTTAAATTTTACATTCAAAAGTCTCTCTTAAGTGCCACCATAACCTATTATATAGAGTGTATCGAGATATCACCAATTGTCTGCGTATAAAAACAAATAAAATTGTCCAATAAACACACAAAGTTACTTCATGGCATGTCGGGGTGGAAAAGGGTGGGTTAATACGATTTGGTAGGTCGTAATCTGGTTAGGAGATGATTCATGCGTTGCTATAAATATGGTTTGTGTTCCTTAATGGTTGCTTTTTCAATTACTGTATGAAAGGAAAATCTTAGCTTAAACAGTACATATATGAGATACATTGGAGTATTCAATTTAGACGTATTATAATTGTGTATGGATAATGCAAAATTCTTTTTAAAATATATAAACTTAATTTGACTGGTCTATGTGTTATTACAGTCTAAAGACATATTAACTAATAACCCGAAAAAGTTGCTAGACACTATGGCAGGGGTGTACCGGAAAAAACTAATAACATTAAAATAATTAATTGAGCCTAACATACCTGCAAATGTTACGTGACAATCCAATTAGCTAAAATAATACTGCGATCATAAATATTGCAAATAGGGTTATTAAGTTTAATTTACCATTGTCTTAAAACAGCCATGTATCATGCACCCTTACAAATTACATTATTTGTGGTCACGTGAAGCCGCCATTACGTCTCCCGACCAATGGGAGCGCGCAATTTAATGGGATTCTATTTTTGAAAATATGAAACGCGAACACGATTTTCATTGGCGTTGCCTTAAATACTAAAAGCAATTAGGTAATTTAATTTTAAATTTACGTGCTGTGGTATTGTATTCAATTACAATATTTTAATCGAACCTACATAGGACAGTGATATGTTTCTGTGGTAAAGTGTAGTGTAATTGGGTACCAAGCCGTAGGTGGGAATAATATCTGGTTTTTGATTCAATTCCATATTAAAAAATGGAAACTATACAAATGTCAATGTCCCGCGATTCAGGTTAGCACAGATTAAGATTAATTTAGAGGATAATCTACTATTTTTGTCTATATTAAAGTCCGTAGTACTTTTCAATTGAAAATTGCATCCAGCCAAATCATGGTCAATCATTGAATTATGTTTAAAATTATATTAAATTACATAATATGACATTGAATATAATACTGGTTAATCGACCACTTAAATTATATCTAATAAAATAATCATACAAAAATAATGAGATATCGTGGTCCGCTATATTGCAAGCTATGTCAGTGTATAAGAAATATATTATCTTTGTATATATATATATCTCTTGTAATAGTGTTTGTAACCAAACTCATATGAAGTGGCTTGACCGACTTTTATGAAATAGGTATGTATTCTGTAGCTGCCCAGTGCCCACGCGAATTTCGTTTCACCTTAATTTTTTACTAAGCCTGTTAAGTACACTACATTCCAATACATGGAACACTTTGCTATGCTACCTCATAGTGACTGTTCCCTTTTCTGGAATAAAAAACTAATAACTAAATAAAACTTATTTTTCAATTTGGCTCTCCATAAAAACCTCAGAATTCAAAGAATAAAACAAAACACATTACTCCAATTGGACAAGCCATCTTTGTTCGTTCTTTTTTCATTTTTATTTATATATAGATAGCTTGACAATTTTTTTATATTTTACGTATACCTAACTCTTAGTTTACACCTTTCACCAACCCCCTTTTCTATACTCAATATAAATTATTTATATTAAACCAAAATATTTACAATAAATTCTTTATATTAGGCAAAACATAGTTTGCCGTGTCAGCATTTTTTTTTGTTTAATGTGTAAATAAAGTAAGATACAAATCCTCATCATTTTATAACACTTGAGCTTAATTAGTATATTATGTTAGAACAAGTATTTTCGATTTATAAATTTCTTAGGATTCTATATACAAAACGCTAGTAGGCATTGAAAAACTGGTATCATAGATAAATGAAAAAAAATCTTTAATTAAGTTAAGTTTACTCATAAAAACACAGAACAAGTATTTCCGATTATAAATTTCTTTGGAGTCTATATATATATATATATACAAAACGCTAGTAGGCATTGAAATACTGGTATTATAGATAGGTAAAAAAAACATTAAAACAATTAAGTTAAGTTTACTTATAATTAAAACTGAAAACAAGTATTTTCGAAATATGTATACATTTTTAGGACCCAAAACGCGTTGGGTAAAAGTTTAGGCTTTTTCTTCTTGATATAGCTCCTCAATATAAGTCTCTGTTGTTATGTGTCCTGATGGATTAGTAATTTATCCCTTAACAAAAGTGTCCATAGTATTTTTTGTAACAATCCAATATATCTACAGATGTTTAAATCAGAAAGTCAATTGCTCAATTACCCCATAGGTGGGGTAAGTTGACAAGGGTATGGGGCAAGTTGGGCCAATGTCTCCAAACCATGGGTTCTTTTAACTTGAGATGAAATAAAATATGTGTTAGACAGTCAGCTTTTTTGTTTATAGTCTTTTATTGACAGAACAACAAAATTTGAAGAAATTTTCTTTATATAATTAACCGAAACTAAATCCACATGACTCCATATCTATCCATTACTTCCGATAATTTCTAAAAAAAAGATTACCAAGGCTGGTGGGTTCTGGTTTCTGTATGGATAGCTACATTTTTATGTTTTTAACATCATACCTTCTTTTCCGGAAATCTTTTTCAATTCAGCTTGTGGAATTTCAGCACACTCTTAGCAAGGCGACGGACGTCTTTTGAGAAAAATGCCATTTGCAGCAAGAATTTTTTCAACAGTTCTCTTGTGAGAGGATATACTTCCCTCGGTGTTTATAGCCCATAAATGAATCATCACCTTCATTTAATTTATTTAAAAGTCAACCAATTCGAATTCTTTAGCGGCGGTATTCACACTTTTTCCCTCATCTGACAGCCTTTGCAGCATTATTTAAGTATTCAGTAGTGTAAGAACATCTTGTAGTCTTTCTCTTGTAAGTCCGCATCCAAACAAAAAATAAAAGATTCATTACTCATCAGTTGTTTAAGTCGTAGAGTTAGTTGAGCTATAGTTGCTCAACTTACCCCAACCCGGAATTTTAAAAGAAAAGTAGGATTGTAAATAAATGCCTAGAATTAGACCCAAAACCTATTTACAAATCAAAAATCAATAATCTTCTGAAAGATTAACACTCTCCTATTGAAAACAGAGAACATTTGACAAAGACAGACGAAAACTTGCGATAAACAATGTTTTTACTTTTTGGTCACAAAATAAACAAAACCCTACCTTCACTCACTCTCGAGCTGCCACTAGCTATTGTGCGATGATTACCTCTCCTACCACTCCTTCTTTTCGCTATTTGATACTCCCGCGTAAGGTGAATAGTTTCCGAGATATTTCGATTGCCCAACTTGCCCCTATGCTCCAACTAGCCCCGCTCTACCCTACTCATAAAAACATACCTAGTGTTGACGTTCGTATGTGTTCATAGTTGTTAATAAATACAATTTGATTTAAAATTTAGGTAGATATGTAGATAAACGCTATTTATTATTGAAATTGTGCAATTCTAAAACATACAATACGATATAATATACGATTTTTCATACTAAATAATTACACTGCAACGAAAATGGTTTACAATTCCGTTTAAGCATTTTAAAGCAATTTAATCTCAGCATTTTGATTGCATACCACTATGATTTGTAGCAATTTATGTTTGATGGAATTTTTATTTATTCATAGGATCGTGATTTCTATGTAATTTCTTCTTATGATGTAATTACGATAGCCTTTGTAATTCTTATAATGTATGCATTAAGATTAACATTTATTACAATAATGGGTCTAGATGTTTGATAAAGGCAAGAAATTATAATTTTGCTAAACAATGGGTATGTTTTAATGGAAAATGAATACGGAATATATTTCTTAGTAAATTTTCTAAACTATTAGTTTACAAATTGTCTTATAATGAATATTTTAGTGTCATAATAATAATTTATTTTGTCATTTTTGCCTTTTTTACTTAATTTAAAGAAATTGTAGTACCTAGTTAATTTTGTTTTTAACTATTGTTATAAATGTCGACGCTTTGTAGTTCACCGTTACATACATTTCTGTATTCACGTTGAATAAATAAACAATATTTTAAAGCGTATTTAAATAAAACTAATTAAAATAAACTTAGATCGTAGTATAATAACACACAGATGAAATAATTACATCACTTTAATAAAAAAATATTTTTTTTTTAACTAAAGTTATTAAATTCAACATGTTTCATAACCTCTTCCTTTCTTCAAAGTCGGTTACCATAAAACGTTTTCTCTTATATTACATAATCAAATAATTTTATTTTCAGCATCGTTTCCAATCACCCGACGGATCGGTCATCCGTACCAGAACAGAACTCCACCGAAGCGCAAAAAACCAAGGACATCCTTCACAAGGATGCAGATAGCAGAACTAGAAAAGAGATTTCACAAACAGAAGTATTTGGCTTCAGCGGAAAGAGCCTCCCTCGCTAAGACCTTGAAGATGACCGACGCTCAAGTCAAGACCTGGTTCCAGAATCGACGGACGAAGTGGAGGTGGGTCTTTATTCTAGACATATGAATTATATTCTAGACATATGAATTATAAAGCGTTTTTAAATTTATTTAAATGATAGGTAGGTATATTAGGTTTGTCTTGTGTTTCAGTCATAGGTGCCTTACACAAAAATACTTAGCTTTTTTGTTTGGAAATCGTCACGTGACCAAATATTAGCTAATGATAATTAAGATTAATATAGCAGTAGTGTCTCGCGCCAATCGCAAAATACTTTTGTACTTGACTCCGTTCAAGAATAATAATTGTTTAAATCTCATAGTTAACAGCCTTAGCTCTTAATAAAATGATCAGTGCATTAGTGTCTTTACGATAGACAAATTAGTAACGACATCAAATGGAATTTGAAAATGGAACGCTACAAAATTCCGTGAGCATGTGATACAATACTAGTGATCGTGTTGGTGGCACAGATTACTAATGGACAAGCGCTGTTTGTGTTGGGCACAGATAACAAACGCTCGATAAAACGGCGCCAAGCCACTGCTTTTGTTAAAAAAAATATTCGTGATTCGAACGTCGATAGGCTTTTGTTTAATTTCAGTTTTAAATATAGGTAGGTGGTTTTTGTCGACTGCATAATGATATTGCTATAGGTATATTTTCGCAAGCAATTTGAGGAATTTAGTTGCTAAAGGGATTTAGCGAAACATACCTAGTTAAAATATATATTATAGTGGTACTAGAGACTAGCATAGCTGGAACCGACGCGACGGCTAGCTAACACCTAATATCTGAGGTTTATAGGACCAATGAAAGGATGACAAAAACTTTTTTGTATATATTAAAAGTCCTTAACCTTATCAATTCCCTACAAAAACCAATAAAAATCGGTTTGGCAGCAGCCAGTTCATTCCATAGTCAACAAAAACGATCGTCAACTGTTTATCGGTTTAGCCCAGGCGAGAATATTTCAGCCCAAAAGCTACACGCTTTAAACAGTGACCATCTAAGCTCAGAGGTGGCTTAACAAGTATTCATTTCATTTATCACGTCTCTTCGTATTAGCATTCGTGAATGGACGTTATCGCTTGTTTAACTTTGAGTTATCGTAACAATGGTTTATTGTCAGTTTAAACACTTGAGAATTCTTTAAGAACTACTAGGTTATGCAACAAGTAACTTTGTTTTTTTTTAATTTTATGAAAAGCACATTTTCACAATTACGTTTATATTTTTCTTTTGTTATCCTGGAAGAGAACGATTAACGGCGACAAGGCCGCCGGCGCGTTGAATTGTCTAATTTAGTTTTTTTTATACCTGTAGTATAATTTAATAAAACTCTTTAATAACGTAAATTATTTAACTAAATTTCATAGAAATTTTTATACACAATTAAAACATTTTTATCGATATTCCCACAATAAAATTTTCTCAGACAAAACTACACAAATATTTATTAAATACTTGATATAAAACTGATAATATTAAATTTATGCTTAATGCTATAAGCGCGCAAAATTTAAAATCGCATAGATAAGAAACCAGAATATAACCTCTTTAATTTTAATGTATCCGTATTGACGACTATTTATTATTTAAAATGTCATCGAATATAGATTCGTGCAATAATGAATTGACAGTTATCTATGACAAATGAAGTTGGTTTATCTGTGACTTAGTCATAAGTGAATAAGAAAAATAGTGTTATAAAATATTATCTTTAATGTCGTATTGTTGTTATTACTATTATTGGTTTGAAACTAAACTTCAATTTAGTCACTTTCTATTACACCTCACTTGTGACGTCACTCGCAAATTAATTTTATCTTCTACGAATTAAATGATATTTGTTCATACTAGTGTATTCGATTTCCTAGTTCTTCAATCCAATTTTTGAAGTGAAACTTCTTTATCGGGGTTGGAAAAAAATTTAGTGTAACATTTTTGCGTTACGCGTCACATTTTTCCGTTACGCGCCATGTTGCTTTTTGAAGTCAAACTTCTATATCGGCGTTAAAATATGACATATAGTATGTTTTTGACTTTGAAGTTTAACAACGCATTACATTTTCGAAGTCAAACTTCTTTATCGGCGTTAAAATATGACATATAGTATGTTTTTGACTTTGAAGTTTGACAACGGATTACATTTTCGACTTGAAATTTGTTAATCGCAATTTGCAGCAATTAATTTGTAAATTGTATGCTAGACAGTGTATCAAAATTTACTGTGTTTAAAGAAATAGTTTCGGACCTCTAAACTTAAAACAAACCAATTATGGCTCTGCGTACAACAAAGGTTTTATATAAGTTTCACTTCTTACGTGTGTACACCTAGTACACGCACACATTTTTTTTAAATAGAGCTCTCTATGACATACAGACTAAAACTTGCAGGCTAAAAAAAAATATAGAAATTCCATAAACAATGCAACAAAGCATTACAGATGAGACTCTATAGACTATATCATGGAGATAAGGATGTGACAAGACGTATGATATATCGATATAGGATATTCTATGCGTAACTCGCTATCATATTAATTTATTATAGATACGATATAAAATATGATTACATTAATATTAATGTTGAAAATATAAATTTTCGAGTGTTTTCCAAACAAACTTACTCTACTGAATAAATATGATCTGAACTGAAAGATATGTAAAATAATAAAATTTAAAGGCTAGGAAAGTGTGCATAGGTAGGTATTGCGTTACACAGGTTCCTGATACATATTATCCACTACGACATGAGCCTCGAATCCCTATTTTAAAATTATTATTTTTTTACCAACTTTATTATAAAGCATAATTTAGCAATGACAAATGACTTCATCTATGACGTTTTGATTTATAAAAACAAGCGTTTCTTTTAAACTTGGCAAGTGCTTAAATTTTAGCTTTATTTATGTCTTTCGTTGCAGAGTTTTTGAAACTTTGTTCTATAGACAGTGTTCTAATTCTTTATTTCTTCGACTATTTATTGTTGCGTTAAAAACTGCGCCTTCTATCATAAACACGAAATTTAATTTAACAATAAAGTCAAACATTAATGTGTGCGTGACTGCAAATATTATTTATTTTTTCTATTATTTTGTAAATCAATGACGCTTGAATAATATGATAACGTACGTTAAGATACGTTTTCATTTGAGAAGACTACACTTCCTATGTTGTTCAGATCATAATTATTACACCAGACTAGTTTATTTGTAGAGATATTCCAATCTAAAAATAAAATATGCAACAAATACACATTACAAAATAAATTACCACATTTATTATAATATAGCCATTTAAACACGACCAAGGTGCAATGTCTAGATTCTAGATTCAGATTTTAGTGCTAAAATCCATTAATACCTGATTAATTCTCATAAATATTCGACAGCATTAACACGTTGTAATTTACATCATTTATGAGAATCCATTTAAGCAAGCTATTAAATTTTATTAGCTGAACATTATTTTAAAATGGAATTAAATTATCTTACCAAATGTCAGGTTATTATTTTAAGAACGGATATCTGATATCCTTTTTAAAAAAAACAACAAATGACATGCAATTAAATTGTGATCTTTCCATAAAAAAATATTCTAAAACCAACCTGTTCCTTCAAATTTTCGAATTGTCATATTTTTTCTATTCAATGTTATCGCAAAGATAATATAATAAATATAGAAACAGACGTGACTTCGTCTTTTTCGTATAAATAAATTTAAATTATCACTCTATTATAAGGAATAATTTTCTGTTGTTACTAAAACATTTGAGGGTAGAATCATATTGTAAATGCTGGTAGCGTTAAGCTATTTGCGTCCCCCTGTAAAAAGTCATATCGTTACAATAGCCAGCCAATTAAATCTTTATACATATAGTATATCTGGAGCAGGCGGTAACACAGGGTAACTGGGGAGATACATATTGTATGAGGAACACAACTCGGCAGTTTAGCTCATCAATTATTAACCACAGTGGAAAAGACGAACGGTCGCCTTTTTACATGTATTGTTCGTTGGAAGTTTATTGTCTATTTTTGTGACTTTTACTATGCCTCTTAAGGTTTATTTTACGCTCGTTTACGTGGGTCTCCGTAAGAGTGGCTTCATTTGTTTCGGTTTATGTTTTCTTTTGTTTTTAGTGTTCTCAACCGAAATTGAGACACATTACGTTTTTACGTACACTATTTATTACGTTGATATTCAATGACCAAGCAATATTGATTTAAGTTGGGTGATAAAATGTTTTCCACACAACAACTAATTTTTTTATAAATTACCCAACTTTTCCTTGTATGTATTATTATTCGACAGAATCATTACAGTTTCAGGAAATAAAATATTCTTTTTTTTTAAATAATTATCAAAGTAGGAAATCCTATTCTCACACTCTCAAAGGCAATTCGAGGCATCGAAGCGTAATTTTAACAAATCGAATTGCGATCGAACCACATCTAACACACTGTAACCCAAGGGGAGGAGACTCCTTATTTATTTACTTACCCTGTTTCATTTCCTCCCGTAATTCCTTTCCTTTGTATAAGTGAATATTAAAACTCCCCGAATTAGGGGGACACGATTGTTCTATAAAAACAGTGCTTACACTCCTTACTAAAAGAAACATTTTCGCTCTTCATTCTTAACCAGTTAATTTCCCAGTTGCTATCCTATTCATGGGATAATAGGTTTTATCGTGAACATGTAGGCCTTAGAATGACTTGAACGGTTTTTGTCGTTTAGGGCAATTATTTTAAGAAAGAGTGTCGTTAGTATAATTGTTGCTTGTAGGTTGTCTCCTTTGGAATTACGAAACAAATCCGTATCAGGATTGATACAAGACGTCAGGGAACAACGTCTTAACAGGTTAATGTTGCGTGCTCGTTAATTTACGTACGAGTATTTCTTTTATTTGAATCAGACTATTGTGACGTTTAAGTTTTACATTTACGGTTAAGTTTTTTATACAAATAAACATTCGCTCGAACGGTAAAGGAAGACATCGTTAGGAAACCAGCATGCCTTAGACGCAACATGT